TCGGAATATGAGGAGACTGTGACGATGGATCAACTGGTGACGTAGCCTGCGTTGTAGATGTAGACTTCGACAGCGCCAATGCACTTGGCTTCACATTCAACTTGACTGTAGATTGTGGTATTGGAGGAGCTAATGATGAAGGTGAGTGCTTTGATTCTGATGTTGGCGAAGGCATCAACGTCGACGCAGGAACCACAATTGGGGTATGTTGGGTGGAGGACGGAACTTTCCTCGTGGGTTCCAAGGACACCAACACCAACGTTGCTTGAGGTGTGCGTGGCAAGTTGCCAAAACTGGGTATACGACTGGGTTGATTCGTCGTTATGGGTTCATGCGTCGCAGGCGTAGAGGTGGCTCCAGGTGTCGGCTGCACCGTGGACGTGGGTTCTTGGGTTGGCTTGGCTTGACTGAAGGTGGGTTCAGGTGCGGGTTGTTCACTCATGGTAGGTTCAGGGGTCGTAGGCACCGAGGTGGGTTCAGGTGTGGGTTGTTCCGTCGCACTCGGTTCAGGGGTCGCGGGCGCTGAGGTGGGTTCTTTTGTGGTAAGTTCAGGGGTTGTAGGTGCCAAGGTTGGTTCAGGTGTGGGTTGTTCCGTCGCGGTAGGCTCAGGGGTCAACTGTGCCGATGTGGGTTCTGGATTAACATAGTTTTGTAGAAGTCGATGGTCTATCGCTTCGATGAACTGGTTGTTTTTGTCTTTTTCGTGCGCGAGTTGGCCTGATTCTGGATGTGCATCGGTACTCTTAGCCAGGTGTATGAGGTAAATAAGCGCTGAGAGGCCTTGGAACGCTCTCATGATGGGTGTCAAAATGTTTTGTGTATGCATTGCATGGCCATGCTGAGACTTTTGAAAGCAGTTTTACTTCTGCATATCTAAATACTTCGAAGTAATACAGAACTGCAGACGAGATTGGAGCTGCGTTACCGAGATTACGTGCAATCTCGCGCAGCATACTATTGTCGTGACTTGCATTTCATGTTTATGTTCTCCCATCTCTTGCGCTATTCAGTATCGGAACGACCAGTGGGGCTGTGGAGGAGGATGCCGTGGAGATGTGGCCACACATCCAGCACCGCTCGGCCTGCGCGTCTGTTGGTCTCGACGAACCCTCGACGCAATGTGTCTTGCTTCACGACAGACGATCCTTGCTCGGCCAAACTCATCGTGAGCTCGTTATACACGACGAGGATCAAAAATTGGTTCAACACACACAGCCGATACATGTGCCACACATCCAGACTGGTCAAGCTTGGCACAGCCTGCGCCACCTGGTCAGCATACTCGTCCAACACCGCTTGTTCGACGCTTCGTCGAACATCGGTTGCCACGCCCACAATGAAAAAGAACGCCACGTCTCGCAACGGGTTGCCGGCACCGGACGTGGCCCAGTCCAACAGCCAAATGTCGTCGCTTGTTTTGCCGTCTACACAAGACAAGGATTATTATTCACAACATGCCTTGTATAGATATTCCTTCAGTGTACCAAAGAGCATGTTGGCCACATGAAAGTCGCCGTGCACCAGACTCTTGTGCGGCCACGTGTCAACGATGTCGTGGACTCGAGACAGGGTGGCATTGCCGACGCAAAGTTGGTTGCAAATCGGTTCTAGTGCCTGGGCCAGTTCGGAATCGTCCAATGTGCCGAGGAACGGCGCAAACAGGGAGGGGAATTGGGCCTGCTTGGCTTCGCCACTGAGACTGGCCCCAATGCCAGGTACAGAGGCCAGCTGCGGAAAGGTTTGGCCTGGTATGTATTCACAATCGGCCTTAGACAAACCACGATGGAGAATCACAATGGACCTTACCCCAGTGCGCTACATGCATGGCGCCAAGCTTGCGAAGGATCGTAGGAACAAGTTTGGCAGGACACCCATCAAAGCAATTGTACGACTGGACATTGACTACCTTGTCGAGAACCACGTCCTCCGACGATGCGTGCAGAAAAGGTGCGAGTAGAAACGGAATCGCATCGTGTTTGGTCTCTGTGTAGAACGCCCTTTCGACCTCGAACATGCTGTGGAGGAATGGAAATTCAGGTCGAGGACATTTCACCACCAAGTGCCGTGGCGGCTGGGCATTGTCGAACGCGACCGTCACGTGGAACACGTGCGAGAGGACGCCTACATCCATGTTCTTGACATCTACCACCAGTGGCGGAGACTCGGCAAAGAGCTTGCTGATGACCGCCTTCACTTTATCTTCCATCGATCTTGCTGTGTCGGATGGTGAATTGACTGTCAACCAACTACGGATACTTATCCGTATAGGGTTGTCTCTAAGCCAGGTCATTTCACCGGTGCGATGCAAAAGGTTATAACCACTAGGTTTTTCTTGATTGTTTTTTGTTGGCTGCGAATTAAATTAAGCTGAAAGTATGCATAGGTTTGTATTTATAAAATACACATTTCTAGCTTTGAAGCATGTAAAATTAGAAAATGTCAGTCAGAAATGAAAAAAATTAAGTTTTACCACCGATGCGAAAGGTTATAACCACTTCGAGAGCAGAAGGGCTTTGGGGTCTCAAACCCTTCTGCTCTCGAAGTGGTTATAACCTTTCGCATCGGTGGTAAAACTTAATTTTTTTCATTTCTGACTGACATTTTCTAATTTTAACATGCTTCAAAGCTAGAAATGTGTATTTTATAAATACAAATCTATGCTTTCAGCTTAATTTAATTCGCAGCCAACAAAAAAACAATCAAGAAAAACCTAGTGGTTATAAACGGTTACAGCACCATTCGGTAGACAAAGCAACGAAAAGTTAGGCAATTCACACAGCTTAACCCATCTACAACGAATTGTTGGGGCCAATCGTGATGGATGGGCATTGTGGAATCAAAGCAGTGTTGGCGATTGGGCATTGGACTTGAGTGGTAAAGTCGCGGTTAAGATTGGAGTTCGGGTTTGCGCCGTAATATCCAAGTTGCACAGAGGATGGACCAGCCGATCCCAGGGGACAGTATACATCAGTGCCACCACATTCGTTTTGCGTGGGAGTGGACGACCCCTGGCCACACCAAAATCCAGGCAAACACTGCGCACATGCTTGACCGTTGGTAGTGTACGTTCCTAATCATCAATCAATCGCGCTGACGATGGATGACAAGTCGAAAAAATCACCTGCGGGACAAGGCTGCTGTTGATTAGATGTTGAACCCCGTGGGCACACGGATCCAGGGGCGCAACGTCCAGAACACATTGTCGAATTGAGGCCTGTTGACGAGCCGAATCTGACGTCATTTGTAAGCCAAGACGATATCGAGACGTGGCTTACGTTCCAAGGGGGCACAAGTGCGCTACGCCCCGCACACAGTACGACCCTGCGGGGCAGATTTGTTGCCCAATTCGGAGGCGACCATCGACACCAAGTAGGGAGAAGTACCCAGAGCTAACGAGCACGGGGGTGGACGAGCCTGGTGGGCAAAAGACGGAGGGATCGAGACAAGCAAAGTGACTGTAGTCGGACGAGCCTTCAGGGCTACGACATACTCTCTGCTCATCTCCATTGTGCTTTGGCAACGTACCAGTAGTAGCCCACAGGGCACGTTCCAGTGCACAAAGCTGTAGTGAGGCCTTCCGTGGCGCCGTAAGTTCCTGACGAACACTTTCTCTTTTGTCCTTGTGTGCAATACATTCCCCGCTCACAGATTTGCTGGTTCACACGAATGGTGGCCGCAGTAAGGGCCTGTGTTTGGCCTACAATGGGGTAAATCAACGTGCTTGTGTCGACAATGCTACCTGTAATATAGGTAGGACCGTCCACAGTATTCAACGTTGGAGTGGATATAGTGTAGTAACCGGGGGATACTGTCGTTGGAATCGACGAGCCTTCGGGGCAATACACTTCAATACCCCCGCATTCGAGGGGAGTAAGGGTACCTACAACAACCACGTCAAATGATGCGTAATGAAGCGATACATACCGAGGGGGCAATAATATCCGGCACGACAATACGGTGGAATGCATGATGCCGCAGTGCAAGTGGTGGAACATTGCTTTGAAACCAAGCCAGTCGAATTGCCAAACAATCCAGCTGGACATGGCTCGGGGGTCACCGTTGACAGCAAACTACATGACGTGTTCAACTCGATTACGGCAAGTATTCATTGAGCACATGATACCAATAATTGGCTTTGGGGCAAACGCCAGAACAAAGTGAAGTTTGAAGACCCGAAGTTGCCCCATAAAACCCTGGGGGGCAAGGTACCGGTGTTGGCGACGCTAGGGGGCAGTAGGTACCTATTGCACACATCAGTAAAATCCGAAGACATCATGAAGTAAACCTGGAGGACATAATCCAGAACACTGCTTTGATATGAGCCCTCGAGTTTGACCAAACGTTCCAGGTGGACATTGGTATTGGATGCCGCTGATACAGTAATGACCGACTTCACATTGGACTTGGGCCGACGATGTATACGGCTCCGACATCAAGAAGTCGTCCAAACCATTTCCGTCGGTACTTTTGACGGTGAAATACCCAGTAGCCACGGTGCGTCGTAGGGGGGTACCGGGGGGACAATAGTAGTTTGGGGACCCGCACTGCTGTTGGACGGGTGACGTTGACCCTACCTATGTGGAAACGAGGTCAAGAACGAAGATAATACCTAGCTTTTTTCGCTTTACTGGGCAAAAGTATCCCCCGCTGCATGGACCAGAACACAAGGGTGATATAAGGCCACGCGTGGCCCCAAACATACCAGCTAATGTAGTGTTGGTTCAACATGTGGTGAGATGTCTATCGTAGTCATAAGTACTTACCTGGGCACAACGTACATGCAGAACCGTCCCAGAACGATCCTCTCGGGCACATTATTCCTGCTTCTACCATCACAAGGACAATCGAAGCCACTGCAACTTGCTTCCAATCATGGCACATCGTCATGCGGTATCTAGAACTGGACGATGAGCTAACGACGTAACGCCTGCTGAAACCGTCCGTGAAATGAAACGTCAAACGGGGTGGGATCAACGATGGCTCGGGTGTGGTGGTGAGTTCAGTCGTCCTTACAAGAAGCAGATGACGATGTTTCTTTTTTCCGACATTTCCACGCTGCCACTTTCTCGGCCTAGATTGTTTGAACTAGTTGCCGCGACATAGATCACACAGCAACTTCCTACCGGTAGGCACTCCCTAGCTCGTTCATACATATCATTCGTGGCGACTGCGAAAGTCTACCCTTCAGGTAGACAGACCCACACACCAACTCCAACAAACAACAGCTTAGCTCCACGTATACATAAAGGCCCCCTCGAGACTATCGACCACTGTAAATTGAAATATACGGCACTTTACATACTGGTTACGCCACCTTTCGACTTTGCCCATTCGGCACCGCTTAACCACGCAACAATCTATCCCTGGATTCTTCGTAGTATTGTGCTTTCGAGCGAAATTTTGGATTTTGGCGTGAATTCCTAAAAAACCACGCGTCGTTCGTAGATCGATTCGATTGGCGCTTGTGTAGGGAAAGAGCGAGCAAGCCATGTCGAACTGGATCACCAAGTACGATGCAAACGGGTGCTTCTCGCACAAAGTGTCCGTGGTCGCCTTGCGAATGTGTCGGTTGGGACGTCTGCGACGATTGCGTGTTCCAGGCTGGACTGTCGTCTGCAGTCATGGCTCGTCGAATACTGGTTGAAGAATTATGGCGCGCAAAATGGACGATGTATAGTGTAGGGCTGTCAAAAGTCTTTAGCCAATCACACTGAGCTTTCTCAAATTGAGCCAATCAGACTCGTTCACAAAGCGGATCACTGGCGTGACACGATAGCGCAAACACCCAAAATTTGTATCAAATCGACAATATGCATTAGGCCTCTGGACGAATTACTGTACACAGTTTTTGCTCAAATAGTGTAATATATTGGTATCACATCGAGACATTTCGCATTTTGTAGCCCAACTGACAATATATATACGATAAAAAAGAATACTGACTCATTGGCTGAAAGATTGACAACTACAGCAGTGATCAAGAAACCTCGTAATTTTTTACTCATCTACTTGTCAAATATGAAGTTACTAATCAAATATGTAAATATAGAGGTATATTTCCATCGCCCTTCGACTCAAATTCTCGTTGGCTGTAAATTTTTCGCGTCAAAACGACAGCTCAACATCCTCAAGAGTGCCTTAACCATTCCTTTACTCGTAACTCATCTCTTGTACCATGCGTCTCAACGTGTCGTCTATGATGGAGCGCCTCCAGGACCAGACTGCCTCGAATATCCTCGACCTCCATCAAAGCCTGAATGAATACGGCGAAGCCGTCCTGGAAGTGTGATGCCGTTGCACCTCGAGGCCACTATCGTGCCGTCATGGCACGCTACAAGTGCATGGTAGCTGAAAACACCACGCAGATACCTACAGCGCCGTGCAGAGCGGTTTGCGACGGAAGCTGCCAGCGCCAGCCGTACAGTACTTCGCGTGGCACGTCCTTGCCTCCCATGGCGAGTAGTCGCCACTGATAAATACATGTGTTAATAAATTATTTGAAATTTGTGTGCAGTAGAGAAATAATAATAAAATGCATACAAACAACAAGTATAAATATATCTGAACTATTTTATTATGGAAACTTTGTCCTTGATTCGATCTGGACTCAGTTATCGTTTACTATAAGTTATATTCCAACAAACGCAAAAGTTTTGAAATTTGCGAGTAGCAATAATGGCCGTTTACGTTATTAAAGTTGTGTCCGTAATAGGTCACCAAACCAGTTCGTCACATATTTCGGAAGTGCATGAATTTTTGAGTGAAAGCCTCGTTTATATCCAATATGCTTTAGCTACTAATGACTTGCTCTGGTATTTCTGAAGAAATAGAGTGTTTTCTTCATGAGTCTGCAAATCAGCAATATCCAAGTCATTTCGAAAATGACTCACACTAAAATACTCCAAATTCCGATGAATTTGAAGCATTCTTTCCTCTACCACTGTATAACTTTATTACGAAGTATGTATTCATTTTGTCATGAGATATGGTCAAAAAGCTAACGGGTCAAAATGAGGGCAATAATTGGCCGTTAACATACTACAGTAATATCTAGGACGACAATCGTTTATCCTTGTTGTCCATGACGGCCATGACGGCCGTGACGGTCGGGCAAGCACCAGACTTGGGGTCAAACATGCCGTTGCCGCCAGCAATGCGGTAGCACTTGGTGGACGGGTAGATGGACATGATGCTGGTCGTGACCGAAAATGTCAAGCATGTGAAGAAAATAACCAGCAAGATGGCACCGGCCAAAGGACTCTTGCCGCCCTTCTTCTTGAGCTCTTGTATCTGAGTGCGCTGAGGAGGCAGCATCCACAACCACGCCAACGCAAACAACTTGCACATGTACGAGATGATGTACGAGTACGTCACATCCCAACGCACTTGGGTCGTGTCGTTCCGGATGTCGTCTTGCGACAGCTTAAAGTACGAGTCGATTACCTTGTAAATGACAGAAGCAAACGGAGACGCCAAGTTGGACACGGTCGTGACCAAGCCGTACGTGGCCCCTTCGTTGCCGACGTCGGCGATTTCCACGGCGCAGTACGTCGCCACGATGAAGCGCACCCCGCCAGGCACTTTTTCTGCCAAAGCACCACCCATGTAGAAACACTGATTGCGCACCACGTTCCAGATCGTCATAAAGTTGATGGCGCCGTCAATCAAAATAGAACCGATGGAGCTGAGCGCAATGGCCCAGCGCCAGTTCCAGTGCAGACCCCACTTGCCCACCACGACCAAAATCCCCGAAAAGATGAACCCGCCGAGCACCGACGACAACGCGTCGTTTAACGGCTCGACGTTGGCCCAGACACTGAACATGGGCGCCCCCGCGGTGGACCCGATGCCTTGGAAAATGTTGTTGATGAACCGGAACGCGCATATCTGCCACATCACGCGCTGCTGCAGCAAGTCCCAGAAGCTGCCCGCCCACACCTTAAGCGGAATCGGGGGGGTCTTGACTTCTTCCACGATGAAGATCGTCGACAACACCACGACCACGCAAGGCACCAAGCAGATGCCGTACGGGACGTTGGGTGCCATGGAAAACTGAAACGACCCGTTGTAGTTGGCCCCGTTCAAACCGAAACCAACGATCACGCTTGACACAATCCCCGTGAACGTGCGCACCGTGTAGATGGCCGTTTGGATGCGGCCACGGATGGCAAGGGGTTCGCGCTGGGCGTACTGCACCACCATGGCATCGGACGCACACGCAGCCATGACGTACCCCAACGACACAAACATGGACAAAATGATAAACAAGCCCCCGTTGTCTGGCGCGCTGAGGTTGAACAAGTCATGGTCCTTCAACGACGCGTTCGAGTAAGGCTTGGTGCACGCCCTGGACTTTCGTTTCGCAGCCTTTTCACGGTTGCAGTATGGCTCGCCCAACGAAGAGAACGTCATGATCATCAAGCAGATCATAGTGACCATCCACCCGATCAACATCCACGACTTGCGGCGGTAGCCAAAAATGGGGAAGCAATCTGACATCATGCCCATGAACGCCTTGAACGACCACCCCAACATCACCAACGTGCTGTACGAAGCCGTCTGGTACCCTTCCAATCGCAGGTACACGTTGAAAATGGGGAAGTTGAGGGCTGGGATCAACCCGTAGATGACACCGATGGCGGCGTATTGAGAAAACAAAGCAAACGCTTCCTTGGAAAGCAGGTCCAGGGCGCCACCAGCGACCAACGCGCCGTCTTCGAGCTCTAAAGGGGACTTTGCATCTTTGAAGTCGCCCTTGTAGTTCGTGACCGACTGGAGGTGCGCCACTCGCTCTTCCAAGTCGTGGCGTCCCTTCGGGTTCTGTGCATTGTTGCTCATCGTGCCAGGCAAATTGAACAATGATCCAAGTCGGACGACTGAAGGTGCCGTGATTCGGACCAGAGTGTGTGGTTCTATCCTCGTCGGACAGCTGGGGTATGCCACTTCAACAATTGTTGAAGGGCTGTACAAGGTAAACATTTTACTGTCAATGTCCTAGCCACGTCCTAGAACGACATTATTGCCATGTGTACAGTAGTAGTAGTAGTACTTTCCAGGCATACTATTAATACTACGTAGTACTACTGTTGTAGTAAGCTTACATAGCAAGCAATGCACCAGTGCAGTCAATCCCCAGTTTTTGCAGCTTGTACACCAAGAAGATTAATCGTGGCAAAATGTAGGAGGGATAATCCGAAAGGTGTGTCAGTCGCCTATATTTTGGTGCGTAGAAGTTCGGCTTGCTTCTGATTTTCCATGAGGGCAATGCGCCTAACCCCTATGTAGCTACCAGAGTGGAGGTGTTATTAATATGCTTGCGTTCTTGAAGTTGTTTCGAGTCACTGAAACAAAGATTTATACGCGAAGCGCCATTCCTAATGTTTCGTCAATGCCCATAACGCTACCTGGAAACAAAATTTTCATAACGTTACTCGAAGTGACAAAGTCCGAGCCAAGCACCAAGTAATTGCACTCGATAACATAGCAGCGTCTTAAGTATGGTGCACGTCACCTAAACTACGAACTTTTCACAGAATTTTCTTACTGCTACATATTTCGTTTTCATTTCTCAAAATTTTAGTAGAGACGTAGAATCGAGAGATCTTACAGTTAACGTGGTGAAGAAGTTATACGACTCAGATTTACATTTGGTGAAGAATTGATCAAGAAAAAAAAGACATTGACAGTTAACCAAGCGATATTCTGCATGGGCGAATTGACTGTGAATTTGGCCCAGCGATGCCACTGAGATATGTCTTGATCTTTGTATGAGACTAGTATCCGTGCATTATATCCGGAGGTAAATGGACCTTTATCCTACCTCTAAAGTGATAAAACTCATGAAATCGGGATTTACAGTTAACTACAGTAATTTAGTTTTTGGGTTTAACTACATTACATATACGTTAAATAATACTACGTAGTATAACCTCAAGTCTTGGATTTGGCCAGCTGAAAGATTGTAGATGACGCACATCATAGTTAGCGTGAAGTTCTAATGTTAGATGGCACGATGGGAAGGCAGTAACGACAGTACGAGGCGTAAAGCTGCTCCACAAGGTGTTGATTTACCCCTATAATATGGTAAGTTTAATATCATGTTTTAACAGGTATGAGGATTTTATCGCCATTATTTCTGATCGGCCAATTAAAGTAGGACGGAGGGAGCGCTTACTAACGTTACACCGTTAGTTGGACGAATCCCCGATATATTTGGTGGTGTGCCCGATATATTTGGTGGTGTGCCCGATATATTTGGCGGTGTGCCCGTGCGCCCAAGTAATTGGCCATCTGCCCGAAGAATTGTGTCTTATGCCCGATGAAAATGCAATGACTCAAATATCTATATTTCATGGACCTGTTCCGACTAAAACTCAGAATGGGGTAGAGCCAATCAAATCGTCGTATTTTTAATTCTACCTCATTCGCAAGAGAACGAGGTGGAATGCATATTGATTGGTATAAACAAAGATAAGCTGTATCCAATCAAAAATTAGTCAACGACGTCGTTGCAGCCTCCATTCAAGTTCAAAATGGATGACGCTCTTGCGCTGTGTGTTGCCATCGAAGCAGTCTTCTCGTCGACCGATGGCAGTAGCTACCGCTCCTCCGTTACAAACCATTTGTCGTACCGAGCAACACTTGGACTATTGTCCAGAACACTCCGATTCTTGGTGTATGGTTCCAGGACGTCTGACCAAATCCCACGATGTTCATCGTGTCCAGTTTATGATGTTTTGACGATGTTTATCGTATCAAATCAAGGAAAAAATGTATGATTGACATCGTTAACCGGAAAAATGGTTCCATCAAGGCTTGTGCAATACAGTAGTACTCCGAATAATTATTTACAAACGTCATCCAAACGTCATCCAACAATAACATTAGGTCATATCCTAATTAGTAGAGATGAGGGTAAATTAGGATAATGCTAGGTCATTGGATACAGGCCTCGTCCGGGAGCAGCACGGCCTACGGCCTACCTGCCGCTGCCCGACAAGAAGAAAAGATAGATCGTTCGGTGAAGTGAGAAGCTTAGATCCGCGCTCTCGTACGGCCTCCCGGGCGCTCGGGGCAACGTTAGGCTTGGCCACTGTTTCATCCTACAACTTGATCCTATTTCATATTATCATTACTAGTACCTTTATCCCTATTTACTTCATGCCATCAAAGTGATTCTTATACCAAATCCTTGATTTGGCACGATGAACATCGTGATTTTGTAAATATTTGTAGACGATGTTCATCGGGGGAATTCGGCGGATGAACTGCATGGTTCACGCGACACCTTCGATGCACGCGTGGCACATACGATTGTAACTGCACCAACGTTGAGGTGGCATGGCATCGCGTTCACCCCTTAGTCCATCACAGCAACATAATGAGCATCCGTTGGGTTCCTTTCGTTGATTCAAACTGGGTCCTGCCTACCGTGGTATGAGCTAGTATGATTGGTTAACTGTTAATAGCCAATAAATTGATTTGTTTTTAGCGTCTCAAGTGCGAACGAGTCGAAAATATTTTGCCAACTCGTACCTACCCCAATCGAGATTTTAGTCGGAACAGGCTCTAATGCGCGTGCTTTCCTCCAACATATTGACATCCCGTAGTCGATTGGATGGATGTAGACGTAGTAGAGCCTTCCGGTGGATGTGAATGCCCATTATTCGAATCGTCAAGGAACGCACAGCATGGGCCGTAGCTAACTCTGGTAATGATGTCAATTGAAATATTGCCCCTATACTTCAACGTTTCGTCCATAGTTCCAAATCCAAAATTTGAATCCGTCGCGCGCAGAGCTCACTTTTCGATTTACCTCAAGGTATGCACCCTCGATGGACGCGTGGACGCCATGGGCAACATGGACGTTGGTATGCGACGTCACAGCAAGGATGCTGCATGTGTCGTTTAACGACCATTTCTAAAACGTTTTTGTGAAATTGCTATACACTTCCAAAATTCGCGTGATTTGTGTACAGTCTTGCACTTGTAATCAATATTGAATCACGCTGGAGTTTTGATTGGGTGAATACTGTATACTAGTCCTTTCTTTAAGAGCCAATCAAATCCACGCAAAATTGGATGAGCCAATAGCGTCGATTCGTGATTCGATGATTCGATTCGACGGGGTCTGGAAATTCGTACCGAATCCACAGTATTCAATTGACTTATTGCGTGATTTCCATTTTCATCGGGCACACGACACAATTCTTCGGGCAGATGGGCAATTTCTTGGCCACACGGCCAATTATATCGGGCACACGACCTCGGTGTGCCAAATAAACTTTAAATGGTCCTAGGGGAGTTAAACGGGCACATGGCCAAGTATATCGGGCACACCACCAAATATATCGGATGCACGGCCAAATATATCGGGCATTCGTCCAACTTAACTGCAAAATGCTGCAGTAGAGCTTTATTCCAGCAGTGCACCCTCTATTGGCACGCATCAGTACTAGTCCAAACTGACTTGTGTGCAAAACCAACGTCAAATCCTATATGTCCAATAATGTGCTTGCTTGGTTGTTCTAACTCGATGAAAAGTCTGCTCTGGCTACAAACGATGCTGTATAACAATCGTCGTCTACACAACCCGACGCGATCGAATCGTGTCGGTGCGCGAGGCGGCACTCTTGGACGCGGCCATCTCTTCCATGCTTCCTTGTCGACTCATGACCGTGCCTCTCAAATTCAGTTCTTGGGGCATCGTCATCGCCGCCGCATTCGCGTCCGCATACAAGTTTCCTACCCAGTAAATATATACCCCGTTGATAATCTTGTTTTTCCCATGATATATATAGTTGTGTTGGTTCTAGCTACGTGAAGAATCGAGACACAACCAAATATGTGCACTTGAATAATCGGCAGAAGTATTTTGAGCCCATCAAATTGTACGAAACCATCATGTAATTAGTGTATGACGACTGAATAAACGTGATTATATCATCACTAGATGGCAATTCTTTACACACTTTGAAGTACAAAATGGAGTATTGTCAAGTCGATTCGAAATTGGAGTAGAGTGCTCAATATCCAATGAGCAGTATCACCAAATCGACAGACAATCGATCGATATACAACCAATCAAAACCCAGTTCACTAATCAAATAGCCAATCAAATCCACTCTTCAACCAAATCAACCACGAATTACTATGTGACTAAATTAGTGTGGCATTGAATGCAAAGAATCGATATACTTGGCGAATCAGCACACGTCCAAAGTTGGGGTAAAAGGACAATTGTACAAAACATCGATCGATCGGGCGAAGAATCAGCAGCACAAAACTCCAACAATTGGGTAATAAAAGGACAATCAATAATCCCCTACCTCGGAAGCGCAATTGAAGCCGTTTGCCGCGTCCTCGAATGTACACGATCGCGGCCGCGGCCGCCGTCGCCAACACGGAAATGATGAGCACGGCCACCAGCGGCGGTCCCATCGGCCCATCCGAAGACGACCCGCTCACGCTCCCTCGGTTCGACGTGCATCGCGGTCCTCCCCACACCTACCACCACCCATGATCCATCACCCTTCCAAATCAGTCTCGAGGCATGTGGTTGAGTTTATTCTAAACTGGAGCGATATGGAGACTGATACACACAACCAAATTAAATGCACACAAGAATCATCATCGGCAGAAGTACGAATAATTTAGCCAATCCGGTTGCGAAAAAACCGTCATCCACATGGAATTCATGTATGTACCTTTAAATTCATGTCTGATTCCAATCAATCACCCCAGGACAGCTTTTCCATACAAAAGTCAGTACACAGAATCCATCGATCGATAAATAGCCAAACAGGCACACACACACAAGTCCAAATACTCGGTAAAAAGGACGATATATATATATTGTGAATTCGCTCTAAACTTCCAAAAGTAATTCGCGTGGTTTGTCTAATCAATATTGAATAATCACGCTAGAGTGTTCTGATTGGTTGAATATATACTTGTCTTTTCTGTAAGAGCCAATCAAATCCACTCAAAAATGGAGAACTCAATAGCGTCAATTATTCGTGATTCGGCGGTGGCGAGGTTCGATTCGACGGGGTCTGGAAATTTGTACCATATCCACAATATATATATTAGCAACACCACAAGACAACACATACCGCTGGGGCTGAACACACACACCGGTTCGATGCACTACACGAGCCCGTAACGATGGACCCGCCCAAGGTACAGTCGGCGTTGTCATTGCAAAATGCGTTGCCGTCCACGTCAATATTGGGGTTGTCTATGTCTTCATACTCGGACTTGTGGCCGTCGATCCACAATCGTGTGGGGTGGGATGCAGGATCGCATCCAACTGACATGGTCGATGTGTTTTGCCATACGCGTATGTAGTCGAGTTTGAGGTAGAGCGGGTATGCGTCGCAGATCCGGTTCACTTTTGGGTCGAGGCCGTCGCCCCGGCACGGCTTGCCGGCGTTCGGGGGCACCGTGCCCCAGCTCGTGGACAGCGCCGTGTTGAAGATCAGGTACAAAGGTTCTTCGATCATGAGCTTCTTCGGGTTTGATTTGGCCGCGTTCTGGGGCGGCGATTCGAGGGCTTCCGCGGGGATTTCAAACAGCGGCACGCCGTCGATCATCCACCGTACGTATCCTCGGCGGCCCAGCACCCACTCAAGTTGGTACTTGAGGTACCCCGAGTACGCGGCAAACTCGACGGGCCAGTTGGCAGAAATCGCGTCCATTTGGTACGCGAACGGCGCGATCTTGTTTCCGTTCCCGTTCCCGTCCGAGTGTAGGGGCGCCGTACACTTGCTGTTGGTCGTGTACGGATCGCACAAGTACGCGCCGTTGTACCCGTTCATCACTGGAAAACACTGCCCGTCCTTGTTGACGCCCCAGTACAATCCCGAGCCAGCCTTGCCGTCCACAGGCCCCCGATCCCCGTTCACGTCGAACGATGCCGGACACGTCGATAACTTGCATGAGTTGTCGACAATGCCAAGTTCCAAGCTTGCGTTGATCTGTGATGCGACTTGAATTTGGTCGGCTTTGGCGGCGCACACATGCGCGGCGTACCGAAGACCTTGGTACCATGAGCGGTGGCCACGCGTCGCCGTGATACTGGACGGCACATCGGGGGTATTGGCGCCTACATCACGACTCGATATGATTTTGTCAAAAATCGATATTCGAAAATCAAATCGATAGCAGACAATCGATCGATAAAGTTAACATTTCATGATTTTTTGAACAAAAAATTGATAAGAAGTAAAAGATTTATTGTGCTTTCGAGTGAAATTTCGTGTTGTGGCGTGGTTTCTGGTTGGAATTTAAATCGATTTGATTGGCTACTTCAGATGAGCTCAAAATTATTAGCCAATCAAAACCTTCTCAATGAAATTCAACCAATCAGATCGATTGTGGATCGGTTTGGTCGGCGCGATTCCCCCCCAAATTTGTATCAAATCGACAATACTAAAAATAAGAAAAGCTTCTATACGACCAATCCAAACAGATCACGAATCCAGTGGCCAATCCACTCAAAAGAACTGATACTGGACGATATCTTTCCATACAAACTAAGTCAATAGACAGCGAAGAAGACTCGATATCGATGGAGTTGTGTGGCGATAAAAGTCGCAAGTTTCAAAGGGTAGTAGGTAGGTACCGATGGTTTTGCACTCGTTGCTGTAGATACAGTACGGGCTTTCGCCGTTGATCGGAAACACGGGGCGGTACTCGTCTGGCATGCCGGGCGCGATTTGGACGGACGAAGAGATGGCGGCACCGCCGCCTTCCAAGATGTCGATCTCAGGGGCCCCACGACCTTGGTGCGGGTTCAAGCCAAACCCGGGGTTGCCGTCGCACGCGGAAATGCGCTGATCTTTTTCCAGATTGGCGTCGCACACGTTGTACGACCACGGCCACATGCGGCTGGTCGACGCCATGAACAAAGCGCGGCCGAGGTTGCCTAGCAGCCACACGCCAGGCCATGTCGGGTAGTAGATGCCTATGCCGACAAGGGTGATGATGTTTATGGTGGTGTCAGGTATATATTGTCAAATCGATTTGAAGCCCTCAGCAGAATAATCGAATGTCTAAAGAGAATGCATTAAAGACCAATCAAATCACGTTCTGGCGAATTTCTGCCAATCCAAACACGTTTGACCCCTCTGCATTGGGCAAAACCATATATATACTAATCTTTGTATCATATCGGTAGTACAAGGCTGTTAAATTGAATCAAATGCATTCGAATGCTATTTTCAGAAATGACCATATATATATATATATATACTAATCTTTGTATCATATCGATAGTACAAGCCTGTTAAATTGAATCAAATGCATTCGAATGCTATTTTGCGAAATGACTCTAGTCAAAGTTTGGGTGAAATGTACAATACCTCCAGTGACACGAGCTTGTGGGTTGTTTGCATCAGGGTTATTGGCCCCCGTGACCCCGGGCTGCTGGCAGCTCACTTCGATGAGCCCGCCCTGCATGCAAAATTTGTTCCACGATTGTAACATGCCACTTCGGTAGTACTACAACAACAAACATCATGACGATGTATTTTGGCGTCGAAAGGACTTATATATATATATTACCATGCGACTTTGCTGGAACCCTGGGGGGTTCTTGTATTGGTTGTACACGCGGAATGAAATGTCGTCCAACTTGGTGATGATGCGAAACACGCCGCGGCCGTCAGCTTCCGTGACAGTCTCGGTCATGTTGACCGAGTAGTACTCGAGCGCGGCGTTCACGCCGTCCGCCATTTCGATCGCGGTCCACATGGGATCCACGCCCGCCGTAAAGTTGCGCCCGGGTCGGTTGAATTCGTCACTCATGACGAGGTCCCATGACTCGCCGCGCGACGACGTCGCCTTGTAGAACTTCTTGGGTGTATCGATGTCGACCCACGCAGGAATGCCGCTACTAGCGTCGTAATGCGGACCTTTGGCAGCACTACTCACACCGCCATTGCCTGTCAAGACCACGAAGGCCAGTACCAGCACCTTCATATTGCTTCGCTAATTGACAGTGGAAACTTGGGGAAATCCAAACAAAATCCGGTTGACATGCGGTGGACACTAAAAAATTGTTCCATCTCACCTACATACAAACTCTCAGTGTGATAAAATGAGATTTTTTAAATTATTGTCAACATTTCACGTCAGGTTCAGATACAGTAAGTTCGTCTGAGGAGATGGTAGTGTTATAATAGCCAATCGTGTGCAAGAATCAAGGTGTGATGGACTCTTATTGGATATTAAGAAGTTCTAGTACCAAGCCATTAAACTTCAAGTACAGTCATAATCCAGAAAATGTCATGAATCCCCCTACAAGCAACAGTTCGACTGTTGCTTGTGTAATAATTCCACTTGTTCTTATTATATCATAGTTAAATGCAGTGAAAGCTATACATTCCAGCTACTATACCGGGTAGGGGAATACATAGCAATACAAGGGGACCGGGTGTCTTATTTACATATTGGTTCGCTTGAAGGGAAATGACTATGTATGCAACAGTGGAACTGTTGCTGTCATGGAATTATTCCTCTGGATTTGAGCCTCATTGTCGCCGTCAAAAAATACTACTGTAGTATGGGTGAATATGATCACTTTGCGGACACCGGACAATTTCAGTCGGACATATATGATATTTGTATTGGACTTCAGCGGAACATATTTTGTCCGAACATATTCGTTCGGACATACTTGTGTATTGTATACACCCGCATAAGAACGATCAGCTATAGAGCGAGCTACGACAGGGCATCCGCGTGTGTATAATTTTGTGCAGGCGGTACTTTGGCGAGGAGTAAGCCCCAGTCGTGCACTTCACCGAAAGTCCAATCGATTCCTCTTGTCGGGAAAAGCGGCAGGTAGGCCGCCATGTGGGCGTTAATTCAGTTAACTGCTTGATATTTGTCGGCGAAAATAACGGCATCGTCATCCGTGCACCATAAACCGTCCCTCCTATTTTGCCTTGATTTGCGTGGAAATTGAAAGTCAATTCAAGCTTATTAATACTAATAAATAAGTATGCCGAAATTTCAGCATCCTGCAGCACTTTTCAAAATTGGAATCCCCATCCTGAGAGACGAGTAAGCTGCATTCTACTACGAGGTCTCTTTCAAGTGCACCATAAATTGGCCATCTGCGTTAAAGCAAGACCTGATGCGACAGCTGATAAAAAGGGTTCCTGTAAGGGAAATGTTCAAAGCAACTTGTTGGCTTAAATAAGTCAATTGGCGCACTGAGTTGGCGCTTGGCAAGGCGTAGCTACACCTGTACGAGGCGGTCTACTCGATGATTTGGAACATGCGACCCATGCCGCGATCTGCATGCCACGCGATATGGCAGTGGGAAATCATATCACCAAGGACCGCTGGCGTGAACCTACGAAAAAAAGAAGTGTAATGGCACGCGAATGAGTCATGGCCTCAATGGCACCATCAAATAGTTCACGTACTGCAGACGAACGTGGTCTTTGTACAGGGGAATCGTGTCGCGCCACTCGCTTAGGTCGTACAAGTGAGGTTGGGTCGAGTTCCACGTCGAGTCGACAACCTGGAAGTGGGTATTGTGCACGTGAAACGGATGGCTGTGCGTGGCGTTCGAGCCCACACACCACATGGTCGACTCGTTCCGTCGAAGGATCGTCACCTGAGGATCCCTGGCGGGCATGGAAACATGGTTCACACCAAACATGATGCTGCCATCGGAGGGATTTACGTCCGTGGTAAAGGCGTACGCAACGTCGCATTCCCGCAAGTCCTTGGCGGCGTCGTTCGGTTGTGTCATGTACCACGGCAAGGTCACGTGTGGAGGAGATGCTTCGAGCGGAGGCACGTCGTCGCCTTGGTAGTTGCGTTTGTCAGAGTGTGCCGTGAGAATCACCAACGCGACTTGGCTCGGTGCGCGATGGTGAAACGGTCCTAACCATTCGTTCCGCTTGAGATTTCTGTCCACCACCACCACCGATCGTGTGCTAGCCACTTGACATTGCATCTACATCGTGTCACCCATACTAAATGTCAGTCCATATACTGTAACGTCATGTTCATGCATGTTTCTTCATTCTCAAGCGTACGGCAATGTCGGCGCGGCCGCCGGGAGGCATGACCAAGAGATCGACCTGTCGCCAGTGGGATTTGGTCACGCCATCGCGAGCCAGGAGATGCGACGTGCATGGAAGTTTAAGCTCGACGATGTTGTTGGCGAGCGCATTCACGAACCGAAGGCGTACCCAAGTTGATGGAGGGATAATCAAAGATGGCACAGACTCGCCATTGACCAACAACTGGATGCCCTTCAGAGGTAGGGTCGTGTTGTTGTGGATAATCACTTGGGGGTCAAATGTCGTCGTCGATGAAGGTGGATGGAGTCCTGTGCCTTGAATCGCAGATGCCAACACATCGTGGACTGTGGCGCATTCCGTCAAGCAAACACCTTGTAGTACCAACACGTGATCGGGTACATGCTGCAGCGAGGGTGGCAGGTCTGACACGCGGTCCAGGATCACCACTGCCCCTGCCATGAGTCCCGAGATCTACTACATCCATTAATGGAATTGAACTGGTCAATGGAGGAGAGTAGGAGGATCGTGGGATGGCTGACACATTGAAAGCTCTTTGTGTTGTTACCTGCGAGTTCAACAACCCATGACGGTGGGGATGGTACCAGAATGTCCCGGATGGATGGTCCCACGGAATAACATAGGTCAACATGGTGGTTTGCGATGGCAGAACCGATGTCAAGTCGTTTGTAACATGCTACATGCATCCGATCATACGTGAGAGTGGGTCAACCAACTATGTGCTCGATTAGACGGACCAGGCCATGCAAGTGCAAACTCGTTTCGTTCACATCCCCCGGCAACAATTGGTTTTGCAGCACGATGCGGAATGTGTCGCCCGGGACGGCGTAGATGGTAGGGCCAGGAATATGACCGTTGTACGCGCGTGTCGTGAAGGCCACCCTAGATCCATCGTGCATGGGAAGGTCGACGCGGAGCTCGCCAACGTCAAGGACAAACACGGACGACACGTCCAGAACGTCATGGATGTCACGACGATTGGCCGATGGACGATGCTCCATTTGAGTCCGTGCATTGTACGTGTAGAAGCTTTGTCGAGTGGCTCTACCGACAACAACACTCGACAGCATCACCATGCTGGCCAGAACAACCCGCGGCCACATCAAGATCATGGGTGTCAATGAACGTCAGTTTCAAATTTGTTGGATAACGTTAGATAACGTTTAATACCAATAGATACAGTAATACTGGAGTATTATATTAATACTTCGAAGTACTACGTTTTACTTTTTTAGATGAAACGTGAACGTCCGTTTCACAGTCAATAAATACTATTCGGTAATAAAACGTTTACAGTTAATAGGTTTTACATTTTCTGATGAGCATAACAATGCGATCGGGTATGGTTGGTTGTGCATCGGCTTCTACTTGTCATCACATCACGCGTACTTTTCATGCAAACTACTGATTGCATATGACAACAATGAATAGGTTGTGAACGAGTCGGTTTCACATGGCTCCATTGTCAAACCTTGAGCGTAAAAGTGCGGCAGGGCTTCAGCCAATCAGTGTAAGGCTATAGTTTTGGCTAACCAATCATCGTTGTTCATTCCCAAAAGGCATGGCCGTGAGATCTTATCACCTGCGTTCCATTTTGTCAATCGCGTTTGTCAACCAGCCTCCTCATGGCCGACACTGGCAAGAGCGGAGGAGATTTGGACGCGTTGTTGCAAGAGCACAAGGTGACGATCGATGCACTTCGTCAACGTCTCGGGGATGCATTGACGGACGAGTACGACGACATTTGGCTGTTGCGCTTTGTGCTGAGCAACGGATCGGCGGACGCCGCCGAAGAGCCATGTCGGTTTACGATTCAATGGCGCAAGGATCGCCACGCTATGTTGGCCAAAATCAAATCGGGTCAGCAGCCACCTTTGCACCATGAAGTGACCAAATTCCAGGAAAGTGTCATCCCACCCGTACATATCCCCGACGGTTTATTACAGACACTCTAATCGCTTCATCTTGCCTACAGGTGGCCTCGGCGCACAAGTCCACGTCGTTGGGCGAGCCCGTGTTTTACGTGCGCATTGGCTTGTGCAATCCCCAAGCACTCATGGACGCCGTTGCGTTTGACGACGTGGTCGAGTACTACATGCTGTACAGAGAAAACCTCCTTGTCCAGTGCGACCAAGAATCGCGCAAGCAGCGGACGCTTGTCAAGATGTTGTCTGTGCTCGACTTTACGGGGTTCTCGATCGCTCGAGGCCATGATACGCGCTTCTCGCAGATGCTGGGCGCCACGAGCAAACTGTCCGAGAAAATGTACCCGCAATTGGTGGGCCGCACCATCTTTGTCAACGCCCCCAGCATCTTTCAATGGGTGTTCCGCTTCATCAAGCCGCTCTTAAGTCAGCGCACGGTGGCCAAGATTGTCATGTGCCCTGGCCAGTCGTCTGGACAGGCCCTGGCAGCTTGTCCGTTCGCCAATCGGTACCTTGGCGTTGAGGTAAGGTACCTTCCTACCTGCTCAACCGCTTAGAACAACTTCATTGCAGCAAGGATGCGTTGTCTAGTCTGCGTCCTGTAGTGTTGAGAAGGTAATCACCTTCTATCTGGTAGAATATCCCGACGTTTCTGGGAGGCATGTGTCGCTGTGGGGGTGGGTGCTGCATCGGGGGCGTCCCCAACTCGCAGACCACCCCCTTCAACTCTGTCGATGCCGACGGCCTATCGAGCATCACACTCAGTCCGGGCTCAACACAATCCTTGGACTACCCTGTCGGTGCTGGCATGAGAGTGTCGTTCAAACTCGTAGCCGAAGGCAAGATCGTCGATGTTCAGGCCTTTGTCACTGCGAATGCACGAGGAACCAATAACATCACGAACAACGTTACAGTGTTGTGGGAACGCCCCGAGTTGCAAGCGAGCGATGGGGCCCAACAAGGCACATGGATGATGCCCGTTGATGGCACACTAACATTGAAGATTGACAATCGACATGCCATGTTCCGAGGACGAAGCATCAAGTTCAAACTGGACTTTGCCGAAGGAGATCAACTCTAGGACGCTCGAATGGACCCCATCAGTTATTGCGTCACTACATACAGCAGTGACCTTTCAGTTCACGCTACATAATTTGCGATTCCGGTACCCTTAAGGTTTCACTTAACATAAAGTCCGCACGAGTTATCCACGCACTTTGATTGAATACAGCACAATTGACTTAATATAACACAACTTTACGACTCACAACTGGGGGCAGGAGTACATCTAGCCCTTCTTGGACTTGACCAATGGACAATTGCCAGTCTTAGGGTCTAACTTGCCGTTGCCGCCAGCAATGCGGTAGCACTTGGTCGAAGGGAAGATGGACATGATGTTGGTCGCCACTGAGAATGCCAAGCAAACCGTGAAGATCACAATCAAAACGATACCGGCCAACTTGCTCTGGCCACCCTTCTTCTTGAGCTCTTGCATTTGAGGGCGCTGAGGAGGCAGCATCCACAACCACGCCAACGAAAATAATTTGCACCCGAACGAGATGATGTACGAGTACGTTACGTCCCAGCGCACTTGGGTCGTGTCGGACCTGAGGTCGTCTTGCGACAGCATAAAGTACGAGTCGATGACCTTGTAGATCACAGACGCAAATGGCCCGGCCAAGTTGGACACGGTCGTGACCAAGCCATACGTGGCCCCCTCGTTGCCGATGTCGGCGATTTCCACGGCGCAGAACGTGCTCACGATGAAACGCACGCCGCCAGGGATGTTGTCGGCCAACGCCACACCCGTGAAGAACCACTGGTTGCGCACGACGTCCCAGATCGTGAAAAAGATAACCATCCCATCGACGAGAATGACCCCGATAGTGCCTAGGGCGATGGTCCACCGCCAGTTCCAGTGCAATCCCCACTTGGCCACTACAATCAAGATACCCGAAAACATGCCGTTCCCGAGGATGGATGTCAACGAGTCGTTCAACGGCTCAACGCCAGCCCAAGTGGTGGACATGGGCGTCCCGGCCGTGGACGAGATGTTTCGGAACATGGTGCTGATGAAACGAAAGGCGCAGATTTGCCACATCACACGCTTCTGTAGCAACACCCAGAAGTTGTTCGCCCATTCCGAGATTGGCACGCCAGGCGATTTCTTCTCTTGGACGACAAACACCGTCGAGAGCACCACGAACACGCACGGAATCAAACAGATGGCGTACGGAACATTGGGGGCCATCGAGAACGAGAACGACCCGTTGTAGTTAGCGCTGTTCAGCCCGAACCCGGTCACGATCAAAGATATAATCCCAGCTAAGGTGCGCACCGTGTAGATGGCCGTTTGGATGCGGCCACGGATGGCCAGCGGTTCGCGCTGGGCGTACTGCACCACCATGGCGTCGGACGCACATGCAGCCGTGACGTACCCCACCGACACAAACATGGACAGAATGATAAACAAGCCCCCGTTGTCTGGCGCGCTGAGGTTGAACAAGTCATGGTCCTTCGACGACGCTTTCGAGTACGGCTTGGTGCACGCCTTGGAGTTTCGTTGCGCAGCCTTTTCACGGTTGCAGTATGGCTCGCCCAACGAAGAGAACGTCATGATCGTCAAGCAGATCATCGTGGCCGTCCACCCGATCAACATCCACGACTTGCGGCGGTAGCCAAAGATGGGGAAACAATCCGAGAACATGCCCATGAACACTTTGAACGACCAGCCCAACGTCACGAGTGTGTTGTACGACGACGTTTGGTAGCCTTCCAATTGCAGGTACACGTTGAAAATGGGGTAGTTGAGCGATGGAATCATGCCGTAGATGATGCCGATGGCGGCATATTGTGTGAAGAGGCCCATGGCTTCGCGAGAGAGCAGGTCCAGGGCGCCCCCTTCAACCAGGGCCCCGTCTTCGAGCTCGCCAGGTGTCTTGGCTTCGTCGTAGTCGCCAGCGACCTTGTCGTTGGTAGCCGACTGGATGTACGACACACGCTCTTGCAGATCCATTCCTCGATCGGCGGTGTTCATTCTGGTCCCTTGATGGTGGCGAGGGAAACGGAAGAATGACTAGTTGGCCCGCTTTGTGCACACCACACGATGTGATGTTTGGGTATGGGACATGACACTACTGTTGGTCACCATATGTGCGTTTGGATACATATCATATGGCTGACTGCACGAGATGCTTACTTGTACTACCAGTACAGTATGTTTTGATACCCAGTAATTCCATATGTTTGTTCACAAGGCTTGGGCAAGAGATAGATCTTGCCACACATGTATAGAAGGCTGATTTCACCTTTTTCAACAGGTACTGTAGCCTTATAGGACAAACCCTGAAAAACGTTCAAGAAATCTGGATACCGTTCAACAGACTGAAAACCGTTCAAACTAATAAACTCTAGTTAGATGAGGCATATTTTTTGTACTCTGAAAGCGTATCTCAGTGGTTAGCGAGAGCTAACCACTGGTGATGGGGATTTAGCATTATACTTCGAAGTATGTGCACGCGGGGGTAGGATGAAGTCCCGGGGTTACAGGGTTACGGGAAGAAAATTTGCTTGAACGGTTTTCAGGCTTGGCTGAACGGTATCCAGATTTCTTGAACGTTTTCCCATAGTTTCCGCCTTATAGCCCGTGTGGCATGGTTTTTCTACGCTGTTTATTCAGACAATACTGGACAACGAAGTTAAATGCAGACGAAAGGGCTTCATGTGTGAGTTCAACGCTGCAGCAATATACTATTACTGTACTTCACAATAAACAGCTTCTGAGAGTAAATGTGAGGGACTTGCAACCGACATGAATGTGTACTGACGATACCCCTACACCTGACTGTGTCACCTTGAAGTCTTATTAACCTAACAAACACTAGTATCTTGCTACAACTGTTGGTGTCCTTTGGGTTGCTTCACTTGATAGATACATTTGTGGCAAGCTGTGAACGGGTATGATTGCTGATCTTCAACATTTTTTTTTAAAGTGACGACGAGTCGTATGCGGTGGAAAGTGGTGAAATCAGGGCCATATGATATGTATCCAAACGCACATATGGTGACCAACAGTAGTGTCATGTCCCATACCCAAACATCACATCGTGTGGTGTGCACAAAGCGGGCCAACTAGTCATTCTTCCGTTTCCCTCGCCACCATCAAGGGACCAGAATGAACACCGCCGATCGAGGAATGGATCTGCAAGAGCGTGTGTCGTACATCCAGTCGGCTACCAACGACAAGGTCGCTGGCGACTACGACGAAGCCAAGACACCTGGCGAGCTCGAAGACGGGGCCCTGGTTGAAGGGGGCGCCCTGGACCTGCTCTCTCGCGAAGCCATGGGCCTCTTCACACAATATGCCGCCATCGGCATCATCTACGGCATGATTCCATCGCTCAACTACCCCATTTTCAACGTGTACCTGCAATTGGAAGGCTACCAAACGTCGTCGTACAACACACTCGTGACGTTGGGCTGGTCGTTCAAAGTGTTCATGGGCATGTTCTCGGATTGTTTCCCCATCTTTGGCTACCGCCGCAAGTCGTGGATGTTGATCGGGTGGACGGCCACGATGATCTGCTTGACGATCATGACGTTCTCTTCGTTGGGCGAGCCATACTGCAACCGTGAAAAGGCTGCGCAACGAAACTCCAAGGCGTGCACCAAGCCGTACTCGAAAGCGTCGTCGAAGGACCATGACTTGTTCAACCTCAGCGCGCCAGACAACGGGGGCTTGTTTATCATTCTGTCCATGTTTGTGTCGGTGGGGTACGTCACGGCTGCATGTGCGTCCGACGCCATGGTGGTGCAGTACGCCCAGCGCGAACCGCTGGCCATCCGTGGCCGCATCCAAACGGCCATCTACACGGTGCGCACCTTAGCTGGGATTATATCTTTGATCGTGACCGGGTTCGGGCTGAACAGCGCTAACTACAACGGGTCGTTCTCGTTCTCGATGGCCCCCAATGTTCCGTACGCCATCTGTTTGATTCCGTGCGTGTTCGTGGTGCTCTCGACGGTGTTTGTCGTCCAAGAGAAGAAATCGCCTGGCGTGCCAATCTCGGAATGGGCGAACAACTTCTGGGTGTTGCTACAGAAGCGTGTGATGTGGCAAATCTGCGCCTTTCGTTTCATCAGCACCATGTTCCGAAACATCTCGTCCACGGCCGGGACGCCCATGTCCACCACTTGGGCTGGCGTTGAGCCGTTGAACGACTCGTTGACATCCATCCTCGGGAACGGCATGTTTTCGGGTATCTTGATTGTAGTGGCCAAGTGGGGATTGCACTGGAACTGGCGGTGGACCATCGCCCTAGGCACTATCGGGGTCATTCTCGTCGATGGGATGGTTATCTTTTTCACGATCTGGGACGTCGTGCGCAACCAGTGGTTCTTCACGGGTGTGGCGTTGGCCGACAACATCCCTGGCGGCGTGCGTTTCATCGTGAGCACGTTCTGCGCCGTGGAAATCGCCGACATCGGCAACGAGGGGGCCACGTATGGCTTGGTCACGACCGTGTCCAACTTGGCCGGGCCATTTGCGTCTGTGATCTACAAGGTCATCGACTCGTACTTTATGCTGTCGCAAGACGACCTCAGGTCCGACACGACCCAAGTGCGCTGGGACGTAACGTACTCGTACATCATCTCGTTCGGGTGCAAATTATTTTCGTTGGCGTGGTTGTGGATGCTGCCTCCTCAGCGCCCTCAAATGCAAGAGCTCAAGAAGAAGGGTGGCCAGAGCAAGTTGGCCGGTATCGTTTTGATTGTGATCTTCACGGTTTGCTTGGCATTCTCAGTGGCGACCAACATCATGTCCATCTTCCCTTCGACCAAGTGCTACCGCATTGCTGGCGGCAACGGCAAGTTAGACCCTAAGACTGGCAATTGTCCATTGGTCAAGTCCAAGAAGGGCTAGATGTACTCCTGCCCCCAGTTGTGAGTCGTAAAGTTGTGTTATATTAAGTCAATTGTGCTGTATTCAATCAAAGTGCGTGGAGAATCCCTGCGGGACTGCGCATTTATACTCAGGTGGACTACTAATTTAATAGTACGTGTCACGAAATGAGATGGAAATGTGAATCACGTGCCATTTAAGACCTCCGCGAGCCTGCTTGAATATACGAGTACTGTATGTAGTGTTGGGGAGGCAATCATCTTCTCTCTGGTAGAACATCAGAGGGGTCCCCAACTTCCATTCAACTCGGTGCATGTCGACACCCTTGTCGATCCCCACTCTCAGTCCGTCCGTGTCGCAATGTTTGTACTTGTCGTTAGAATACGAGCGTCATTCAATACTTCGTTGCGGAAAGGCAAGATCATCGACGTTCAAGAGTTTATCACTGAGAATCCTAGTGGAACCTATGCTGACGTGAACACCCCCACAGTAATGGGGGAGTGTTGTCTTGCGCCGGTGTTCACAACCGACGGCTACAGTGTTCACAACGGTGACCTCGATGACAATTCCAAAAGTAGCTTCATTATCCAGGCTATCAATCAGGTCCCTCCTTTTGATTTCACTGGAGTACAAGTCACGCATCGATACAGTGTATGCCTGTCCGGATTCACAGTCAGGTCATATTTCACACTCCTCAAATGTCGTCCTGTTTCGGACCAACATTCGGCTACCCACGCTCAGGCACGGGGGGTCGAACAGAGGTTCGGCCGATAACAGGGAGCGCTCCGACTTGCAAGCGAGCGACAGAGCGCCAGCCGGCATGGGGGTGGTGTCCGATGATGACAAACATTTGATGAATACGGACGACCGACTGGGACCTCTGCACGCTCCTCAAATCAATGTACAGTCCTCATAGGCTAACTACGATGGATGAATTGAAAACTGCACAATTGATTTATATAACACAACTTTACGACTCACAAATTTGGAAATACTCGCCAGAATGCATCTCGCCTTTCTTGGCCTTGGTCGATGGACAGTTGCCCGTGTCGGGGTCCAACTTTCCATTGCCACCAGCAATGCGATAGCATTTGGTCGCAGGGTACATGGGCGTGATACTAAACGCCACCAAGAATGCCAAGCCACACGCAAAGACACACAATTAAGATAAACGGGGCCAACTTGCTCTTGCCACCCTTCTTCTTGATCTCTTGCATTTCATGCCGTTGAGGGGGCAACATCCACAGCCACGTCAACGCAAACAACTTGCACTCAAAAGAGATGATGTGCGAGACACGCCACGTCCCAGCGCACTTCGTGCGTATCGGACCTGAGGTCGTCAATCGTCCCCGCCAGGTTTGCACACGGTCGTGACCAAACCGTACGTGGCCCTCTCATAGCCAATGTCGGCAATTTCCACGGCGCAGTACGCCTATAAGATACCCGAAAACATGCTATTCCCGAGGATGGATGTCAACAAGTCGTTCAACGGCTCAATGCTAGCCCAAGTGGTGGACATGGGCATCCTGGCCGTGGACGAGATGTTTCGGAACATAGTGGTGATGAAACCAAAGGCGCAGATTTGCCACATCACACGCTTCTGTAGCAACACCCAGAAGTTGTTCGCCCATTCTGAGACTGGCACGCCAGGCGATTTCTTTTCTTGGACGACAAACGCCGTCGTGAGTACCACGGAATCAAACGGATTGCGTACGGACGTAAGGTGTGCACCGTGCAGATGGCCGTTTGGACTAACTGTTGCGAAATTTGCCATTCGCGGAACCCCTGAGCCCCTCCCAAGAAGTTATCCAAGTGTTCGATTTGGTTGGATATCCTGGGTGTGATCCTATTCGCTAGTTAGATTATTGGCTGCCCAGCAGCTGTTTGATTAGGTTAGGGTTAAGCCCCAGTGACTACTTGCCACTGGGGGGAATTCACTTTGTGATTTGCCTTTGAATCGGACTTCGCAAGGTCCGTCAAGTTGAGACGCAACAAAGAATTCTTTAGTAGCAGCCTGCTACTTGCCGTACGAGTATGGAATAAGGAAGTCTGCCGTTTACGAACAGCCTGGCTCGTGTGACGCCAACGCGGTCTATGGAGACCGTGTTGGCCGTACCATTGCCTCCGCCGAATCAAGCGGAGATGGACGAGCTGCGGATGCAAAGCGTGGAGCGAGCGACGATGACGTCAAGTCATTTCAACCAAATGACGTACGAACAGCTGGCGCAGTTCCATGCGCAGCAAGAAGCCATGGCGAAGCGGATGGAAGATGAGTCTTCCCGACAGTTTGCGATGGCGAAGGCGATGGAGAAGAATCGCCTGGAACAAGAAGAATCTCGAGCGATTCTTTTACGTCAACAAGAAGAACTGGTTCGTCAGCAAAACGAACTTAAGCGAGCGATGGCCGAACAAGCCAGGGTCTCGGAAGCGCATCAAGAAATGCTCCGCCAGGCGTCGGGCGCGATATCGCCAGCAGAACTACAAGGTAGAAGAGCTGAACCAGAAGGTCCGACGGGATAGCGAGCGATGGGGATTATTCGCTGAAGCGACCAATCAACGATCGCCATTTCCGTCCGAACAAGGGGCGCCGACAAGCCGCATGGAGAACCTCATGGGTATGCAACAGGTGCCGCGGACCTATGTACAATGGTAGCACGAAGCGCGAGCGTCGTGAGTTCATGGACGAGTATCTAGCCTACTCGCGGCGCGTGGAAGTGCTAAACCGCGGCATGGGCGGTACCATGTTTTTGATGCCGTTGGCGGCATGCATTGACCAGAAGATTGTGCCGCGTGTGTGCGCACATGATTTTGGAAAGTCGTTTGAAGAAATTACCGAAAACGACTGGCGCGATTATCGGCGCGTGAGGTCCAAGAGTTG